CCACCAGTATCTCAACAGCAGGAAGTACTGTTATGTAGACTCAGGAGACCATCAGCTCTGCCTGGACTGATCCCCATTCAGAAGTGGGACTGAAGAGTGTGGGTATTAGAGGACATGGCAAGGGGCCAGGAAAGAAGAGGAGACTCCTCTGGTGAGACTGAAGAATCCGAGTCTCTCCCAGAAAGAAATAGGAAACCGAAGGGAAGGAGAATCCAGAAAGGCGCACTCAATGTCTTGCTATTCCTTCTCATATCATATCCTGACTAGGTTACAGAATCCCAGAATCTCAGGGTCGAGGGGAAAGGGAATAAAGAATTAAGATGTGTACCAGTCCCCCACCATGAATGTAATGATTATGTACTGCAAATGTGTACTAGTAAACATTTAAAAATCATCCCAGAATCTCAGTCTCTCATTCATGATTTTACCTGTTGATTGTATATCTCCACTGAATATCACACAATCACCTCAAATCAATTATGTCAAGCCATACATGGAACCTGCATGGTCATTAATCTTCTACTTCTGCTATATCCCATCTCTTAGTTCACTGGCACCACAATTCACCCAGGATCCTCAGTGGCACCCTTAACCACACCCCTTCCTAGTATCAATCAGTCCTGTGGCCCCTGCCTCTTCTTCATACACGTCCCCTTGCTCACACATGCCCTTTCTCTTCATCCACACTGACACAGTCTTAGTCTGGAAGGTTTCTGTTTTTAAATTTCATGTTGGAGAGTACTATACAAAGACACTAGGCTTAGTCCCATTCTACACCAACCAAGCTATTGCTGACCTATGTGTGAGTCTGAACAACCCAGAATACACTGACACTGGACTAGTATGTTGTTAGGTGGAGTTTGCCTATGAGAATGGGATTTTTCACATCAACTATTTGGGAAGAAGAAATACGATATGAAAATTAGGCCAGGCAGGCCTTAGATTGGAGTAAGGCTCAGTTACCTTCTCCTTCTGGGATTTTACACATGGTGGAACTTGGGTATTTGGGCAAGGGAGACATAGATGAAGGTCCTCTCACTGCAAGGAATGAAATTAGGCCTTTGAGGCAAGGACAGGCTGGGAAGCAGCTGTGTGGACACCCAATGAAGACAGGTCTGGATAGAGCCAGGGGCTGTGAGAAGAGCCATGTGTTCGAAGTTGCGCATTACTCTCTACTGAGCTGTACTTCCATTATTCCTGAACTTCGACTGTCAACACCTCTCCATTCTCCCTGAGCTGTGGGAATGGTCTGTGCCCCCAACCAGAACAAGGTAAGACCACAGAGCAACAGCTTGAGGTGAACTGGTCTTGCAGGGTAGGGGAAGATTGGGAGCAGCAGTTCATAGAAAGACAGAGCAGTGATAGCAAACCTTTTAGAGCTTTTAGATACAAGCAGCCAGCTGTAGCATGCATGCCACAGGTTCATCACCACAGGTTTAGGGGAACAGCATACCCGGAGAAGATCTGCAGATCTTTCAAGTATCTGTGGAATTGTATCCCAGTAAATCTGACTTCCTACAATCAAATAAGATGGAAGATCAAGTCATGAAGACCAAGAGAGAGCTCACAGATGGGTCACACGGGTATCTAGTGAATTCTATGGCAAATATAGAGTTTCTAGGGTATCTATGCTACTAAAAGTTTTAGCACCTAAGAAACAAAAGTCACTTGCAGTTGGGAATTCTGTGTCTGAAAGAGACTGTCCTCCCCAGGGTTCATGCTTAGCCTCCTCCACAAGGCAGCTCTGGGCCAAATGTGAGTGGGTGATGAGGTACAACCATCCACTGTTCACTGGCGATGAGTTCCATGACTGTAGCTCTTCGAGGGCTGAGGCGACAAGGCTTTTGCTAAGAGATAAAGTAGTGAAGAGTGGGACATGGGAAGGGGGACAGGTCAGTGCCTTCAGTACATCGTTAACTGTTAAGACTTCAGCATTCAGCATAGTGAATAACAAAAGAAGTCCTTCCAACTTGTAGGCGGCCATAATCAGTAAGCTATCTTTTTCCTATCAAAGTCAAGGTGATGTATGAGTATTCACCCTACCATCAGAGGAGACAGAGCACAGTCACTTACAAGGTCACTACAAAGTAGGCCGTCATCGTAAGTAGTATGCATCTTAATTCTAGTACTGCCAGAACTTTACAGTAGCTACAGAGAACCCAAATAGCTGAAGTAGAGAAACAAAATAGATGCAAATCTTAAAACTGACAGGCAACTAAAGATTGGGGTTATTCCAACAATTGGCCTCCGGTATGGATGTGGGACGGGATAGGATGCCAGGATCATGTAGCAAGGACTAAGTTAGGTCCACGACAGGCATTTTCCTTTCTAATCTGGCTAAGATTTCCTTGATGGCTGAAGAATCAAGCTAATACTACATACACACTCTATGTGATTTATAGTTACATAAGACACCAAATCTGTCTAGGGCAGTAAAAACAACCCACCTAATTGTTGAGGGTCCCACTGTGTAACAACACAGTAATGGGGAAGGGGAAATCATAATGTATATGACCGAAATAGTCCACTCAAGACTGGAACTGTTCTTGTTACCAGGGCTCTGTGTAATCAACAGCCATTTGGGATCAAAGAGTTGACCATTGCACTTCTCTGACATGGGCAGGATGACATACTTGGGGTGCCTGGTATGAAGTCATCAGACACATGCACACACTAGAAGCTATCTCCATGGCATCTCTTAAGTAGGGGCATTTTTGTTGATGACGTACAGCATCTACACGGTTAATATAGTCCAAGTTGGACAAAGATTCTACACTCAGTGTGTCTCAGAAATTGAGAGTTTCCTTAAGGCATTATTGCTCTCTAACAATTTATTCATTCTTAATAACAATAGTTGGGTGATTCTAGGAAAATCTTGGGCTGAGCATGGTGGCCTGTAATCCTAACACTCCAGAAATTGAGGCATGAGGATCACTGCAAATTTAAGGCCAGCTTGGGCTAAAAGTAATTTCAAGACCAGCCTGAACTGCAGAGTGAAGAAAGAAAATCTCTGTATCTTTGGAACAAAGGACGAGAAGACCTACATCCTAAAGCCTCCTTAGTGGGTCATGTGTCAGTTTTATCCTCTGACCACAGAGTGACCTACACACTGACCACATTCTTGAAATTAAATGTTTTCTCCTTTATTCTTCTGTCTTTGCTGGTAGTTGTGGTGTGACAGGTCTCCTAGGCTTGGATAGATGCAGGAATCAAAATCCAGGGTGACAAGTGGGACTGCGGAAACTTCTCTGGGATCCCTAAGACTTTTGCAGCCTCTTAAGCCTGAGCAAAAGGTGATAGAAAATGGAGTCTTAGGTGGCTTTCTTAGTACCCGCTCTTGTCAGTCGTGATCAGTGAGCTCCCTAGCTCAGAGGAGTGGGTGGAAGTGGAGAAGGATGCAGAAAGGAACGAGAGAATTTGAGAGGTGAATTTAAGGTGCAAATGAAAGAGACAGTGATGAGAGTTTATCTGTAGCTTCATTTTGGCTGTGAAGTCACAAATTACAGAGAGGGCTCCTTGCCCACAGAGCCTTCTCAGAGACAGGACATGTGGGCTCCTTTCTCCACCTCATTATCAGAGAGAAGTCGGGTGAGTTTGTGAAGGGAGGAGGAAAAAGAAGTGAAAGTGTAAAAGGTCAACATGCACTCTTCAGAAACGTGGGTGTCTGTGGGTCACTGTCCCAGCCTGGCCGAGCTGACATTAGCAGTATTCCTGCTGATCATGGGAAGTCTGCTTTCTGCTCCATGCTGCACCCCCATGCCCTCAAGACCACCTCCTCCATTCATGTCTACTCCCCAAGCATAGAGCGTGTGGCCCTCTGGGTCACACCCAGTGGAGCTGACATCTCTTGTTAGAACTATTCCAGTCCTCTTCTTCTGGAGTGCCTGCTGGCTCAGCCCCACCTTGTCCCTGCCTTCATGCTCAGAGAACAGGAGGTTTACTTTAGTACATTCCCGAGGCTCACCCAGGGAGCCAAGATCCAGATCTCTTCTGTGTTACTTGTTTAGAAAAAAAGGCATAAAATCTAACTGTTCTTCCCTCCCCCAATCAGAACTATCCTCAGTGCAAATTCAGAAAAAAATACGTATCATTGTGATTTCAGAACTGTCCACTCTCCATATTTTCCCAAATAACACTGGGAAAACATTGTGGTGTCAACTCCTCTGGCTCCCAAGCCTCTTCCTGGGCTAGGGGATTCTGACCCTTTCAGTAAATCCTTACATTTGAAAGCAGACCTAGGGAAAGGCACAGTGAAGGGGACAGTCACATGTTTGTAGCCCAGGTCAAGGAAGCACATGATCACAAGCTCATCCCATGCCTCATGAGGAAAGAAGGGCACAGGACAGAGAAGAGGAGACAGGACAAAGGGCTGCAAGGTACAGGGGCCTAGGGCCATGCTCCCACCCTTCCTGTGCTTTGGCCCAGCCGGGCCCAGAGGGAGGGAAGTTCTGACTGGCCCTGTTTCCCTGGAAAGCTAGAGAAACTTCAATGTTTTGATTCAAGAAAAGAAGGAAGGAAGGGAAAAAAGGAAGAAAGGAAAGGGAAGGAGGAGCAGAGAAAAGACCAGACTAGATCAGAGGCCTTAGAAAGGCCTCTCATGGTTAAGCACCAAACAACCTAATATATGGTGCATATTCAGAGCCTAACCACCAGGGCCAACAGGCTCACTCCCACAGGAGGCCTGGTCCTGACATTAGCCCATTTCTTTACCGAGCTCCTTCCAGGAAAGGCCCAGGCAGTGAGCCTTTGGGAATTGCTGGGAAGCAGAAGAGCTGACCATTTTTGTAACAGAGGCAGTAAGCTAAGCAACTGTTTTTGAAGAAGGAGACCATGAAAACCAGAAATGTGGCCCTCCTCCCCGGAGCCCTGGCGGCAGTGCTGTCCCTTCTGTCTGAGCCCTTACAAAGCCACGCATCATGTTTCCCAGTGAGCCTGTGTTAGTGAGACCCACTAAGCAGACGAGGAAAGAGCCATCTACAGATGGGGCTAAGCACGCTTACCTCCATCCGCTGTGGACAAGCTCTGTGGAAAGAAAAGCAGGGTAGAGTGTTACTATGCGTGTGGGGTGCGAATCTCCATCCATTTCACCTCTTCCCTCCGAGTCCAGCCCAGAATCTGAGTGTGCCAGGCAAACCTCACGCCCTCTTTTCTCCTGGGAAAATCATGTGAGATCTCCAAATTTAAGGGTACAGCTAAGAGTTTATCATTCTCACTTTATAAGGAATGTCAACAAATTTATAGAGAAAATCATTTCACCAAATATCTTGGGTTGCGTTGAAGTGATATTAGAAAATTTCATCTTAAAATTAATTTCATGAGACTGTTCTATCCCGGGCACACTACTGCAGCAACACAGGTATGGAATGGCCTTAGGGATTCTGTTCTTTACTACCTGGAGCCATTTCCTTTCACATATAGCAAGATGTCATGTAATGAGACTTCTCCTAGTGGAGTGCATGTTCATTGGATATGGTGTTGCTTCTGGCCATTTTATAAATAGAATTCTCCAAAAGCAAAGTGTAAGTAAACAACAGGGAATATGTATGATCTGCTTAATGGGAACTGGAGTCAGAATACTGGAGTCCTGCAGGGGAAGACTTTTCAAACTTTTGGCAGAAAATGGGTTTGGACAGCAGGTAGGTAAGGTTAATTTAATGGCTCTTCTTGATGCTTCTTGGGCAAGCTAGGTGGTCCACACCTGAAGATTAGCTGCTCAGCTTCAGGGATGGCACCTGGTCCTCACAACACCCTGAGCTTCCCATCAGTACCCACAGCACTCCATCCCCACCCAGCCCCACTGGCACATTTTGCCAGGGCTCTCTTCCCCATGGATAGAGACGTCATGTTTGTTTTCTTCACCTTCTGAAAGTCCTTGAAGGATTTCTCTGTCTCCTTTAGCTTCTCTAGGATGATTTGCTCTTTGGCAGATATCTGGGACTCCTCACTTTCAAGTGCTTGTATTTCCTGCTCCAGCCTGGAAGACACACAAACAGAGGACAAGTTGCTTTATTGTTCTGCCATCCATGGGTAGGAGAGCAGCTCCTTCCAGTTGGGCCACTGTTGTCTTCTGGCAGGTTCCATTTTATATTCTGCTGAGGAAGCAGGCTAAGGTTTTACATTACAGAGCATCTGGTGTTTCCAGCTTTGTCACCAGAAGATAGAAAACCACCCAGGGCTACCTCTACTGATCTACAGCCACTAACTTACTATAGGCTTTGGCGTCTCCCCTGTAACCCCACTAATGTACAGATTTATTATTCAAAGATAGATTATGTTTACATAACACAGGACGCAATATCCAGAAGCAACAGCTTCGCACTCTCAGCGTTCTCAGGATAACTGATCTTCTCTCAGCACACCAAAGGGTTAAGGGCCAGTCTTGTTCAAAGGAGACAGACTGCTAAGAAATGGCAGGTGGCCAGAACCCTTGGGAGCCTGGTGTCCTCTCCCACAGTGGCCTGGCTTCTACAACCAAAAGAAGAGGAAATGGAAGGCATAGATACAGCTGTCCTTGTTTTTCTGGACCCTCCCTCAGTTTTCAGAGCTATCACATTTATTCTCTGAAAGGGAAATTTCAGCTCCACCAAAAGTCTCTGAGACATCTAGAAGAGCAGCTACAGTTATGGGGGAAATCTCAGCCTTTATATTCTTCCAGTAAAATGACAGGGATAATCATTAGCTTTTATGGAGCTCTTATGCTGTGTTAAGAACTAAACTAAGAATTCACTTGCTTAACTTTTCCAGTGTCCCTACAAGTTGGGAATCCCCATTTCACAGATGAGATCATTAAGGCTTGGCAAGGTTAAGTACCTAGTTGTTGTCGGGTCTTGGCACAAGGATGCAAGCCAGGAAATCTAAATCTATCCTACCATGTGGGTTCCATAGTTCTGGCTTGCTCCCCGCCTGGTTAACCAGTGTATGCTGGCATAGTAGGGTGGGGCTGGGAGCCAGCAATGCCTTCCGGGGTTATGGAAGGACAGATGTTCCCTTGCTTGGAGGACTGCAGACTGTTGTGCCTGTATAATTCCTTTTCATCTGACTTTATTTGCTCATTCACTTATTCACTCACTCACTCATCCACTTTTAATTTTGCTTCCTCTCCCTTTGTCATGCTGAAACCTTTGCTTACAGTCTATGTTTTTCTATACTAATCCTCTTTCTTGCTTTCCTCCTCTTCCATCTTCTAACCTGCTCTTCAGCACTGGCTACCAGGTCCCTCAGACTTTGAACTCAAATGAACAGCTCAGGGTGAACTCTCCTGACAGGTTCAAGAAAGAGCCAAGAAAAAGGAAGACTTTTGTGTTTCCTTTCTGAGTATCGGAAAACGACCTCTGGATAGAGCAAATTTGTAGCAATTACCTTGGATGATGAAGACAAACTCTAAATCCAACCGTATCTTCCCTAAATGAAATTAGCTGCAGATGCATTCAACATTTCAGTTGGAGTGGCAGTAGAGGTCTTAGAACAATGTGCAAGACCCACAGTGTCCAACCTCCAGGAGCTATCCCACCTGCACTCTCACCAACCCGCCTATTTCACTTTATGCTTTGCCCTAACAGCTGGCCCGGTTCACTCCTGTGTGTCTCATATTTCTCCCTTCTTCATGAAACTCATTGCAAACTTCTAGCCATTCCTATGGGCTCAGCTCAAATGCCCCAGGCTGCTGAGACTTTCACAGATTCACCGCCATGAAGTAATGATGTCTTCTTCTGAACATTTCTTAGCACATTATTTTGGTTTCTCAGAACTCTTACCAAGTCTAGCATATACAAGAGCAGCAGTTCTCAACTACAGTGATTTCACCCCCCGGGGGACACCTGGCACTGTCTGACAATACCTTGGTTGCTCCTAGCTCAAGGGGAGTGGGATTGGTATCAATGGCACCTAGCAAGTGGGGACCAAGGATGCTACTAAACATCCTACAATGCACAGGACAGTCACTGGAATAAAGAATTATCTGGACCCCAAATAGTAACATGCATTATTAATTCCCCCATTTAGATTAAAAATTCATCAAAGCAGGGGCACAGATGCTCCATACAGCATGCCGAATGAATACAATAAAACAAAAGCTGTACCAAGTTGTACAAAGGTATGGCCCAGCCAAGATAAGACCAACAAAATTTCTGCAACCAGAGCAAATTCTTTAACAAGTTTTGATGTGAGAGGCTGTATGTGGGCTGAGATGCAAACAGCATTCAGAAGAGAGAGGGCTGCTGATCTACGTGAAGACACAAACACAGAGTTGTAAAATTCCTTGGCTATCCCAAATGTTTGGTAGAATCCTGTGCACACATCTGTGTGAAATATTTGGGGGAATCAAAGAAAGGGATGTGCATATGCAGCAGCAACAACATGTTGCTAAATGACCATGTCCTGGACCAGTTCAGTGGGTGGAAAAGCTCTGGGTTTGGGGTCCAGTGGACTGACTGAATGATTACTGCCCAGGTGGGTTCTAAGCACATTTTTATTTAAATCTCAAAGGACAAAGTACCTTAGCAGATATTTAGGATATGTGGTAGGTTATATTATTCTTAAAAATACTCCTTCTCAATCTATTTGTCTGTTTGAGAAGAGTACCTACTTCCCTGACCCACTGATGCTGGTTTTGGTCATGTGGTTTCCTTTGGCTTCACGATGGGTGGAATACACTTCCTCTGTGCTTGCCTGTGGGCTTAGCCATGTTATCTCTGTAAACCAGTGAGATATCAGTGGAAATGATCCAAGAAGAGGCTTAAAAACAATTGCCTAGCCTGGCTTGCCCCTTACCTCCACCAGTGCCAATAGAACATCTTCTCTAAGCAACTCCTTCCCTTCCTTCAATTTGGGCCTCAGAAAGAATACACAAGGAGCAGACCTGAACCCGGTCTGCAGCCAGGGGAACGCCCAGCTGGAGCCGCACCATTACCACAGCTGCTTCACAGAGACCAGTCCAAACCAGCAAACACCTCGCAAACCCCCAACACGGAAGTGGCCGCAAGAAGGAACAACTTTCAGTTTATGCCCGTGACTCTGAGGACATTCATTAGAGCGTTATTGTGGCATTAATTCAACGGGACAGGTCAAATAAATAAATTACGCTAAGTATGTGAAATGTATACAAATACATGCTTGCATGCATAGATGTTTTCTATCTATATTTATATATCCTAGTAATACCTGAAGCTAAAAGATTAGGAAGAACATAAGCTCTCTGGTACTTCCTTTCCTGAATCCTCAGAGAAACCTAGAGGGAAACAGCAGTCCTCTGTAAAGACTAAGGCTGAGAAAACAGGAATACATCAGTGGAAGTTATTTCTGGGTAATGGAATTATAGGTGATTTACATTGTTTTTTTTCTTTACAATGTTCTTTGACCTTTTCCCAGTTTAAAAAAAAGTTATGTATTACTTATGTAACCGGAATGTTTTAAAACAACACCTATAAAAACAATCAACTCCTTTGTAAAAATAGCTCCCGAGGCCTCATGCTGCGAAGGCAGCACTTTATGGGGTGTGGGGTAAGAAGGGGCCAGAGCCTCAGTTTCTCTGTCAAGCGAAGGGGTTAAATGACGCCCTCCAACACCTTTTTTTTTTCTTTTTCTTTTCCAGTACTGGGGATTGAACCCTGGGCCTTTGCATTAAGCTACATCCCAAGCCCTTTTTAAAAAAAATATTTTTCATTTTGAGGCAGAATCTCTTTAAATTGCCCAGGCTGGGTTTGAACCTGTGATTCTCCTGCTTTAGGCTGCCAGAGTGTTGGGATTACAGATCTTTACAACCACTCCTAGATCCAACATCTATTTAAATTCAAAACCAACAATTACTGAGCTAATTTGGCTGGGCCCAGAGGTAGGCACAACGAAGAATTCTCAAATAAACAAGATCCTGTAAAAATAGCTAACTTTTAAAAATGACAGCCAGCAAAAACTCACTTCCGGTGCAATAGTCACAAGTATTTAAGAATTCTCTGTGACCCGATGCCCAGTGTTGGCTTGTCTGTCTCCACAGCCTGCCCCTGACCTATGGGTTTCAGGGCACTCAGCTATATAGTTCAGGTGCTAAAGATTTGGGTCATGATACTGTGCTGTGTAACTGAGAAGGAACGGAGAGAAGGGGAGAGAGAAAAAAAAAAAAACCCAATGAAACTAAACCTCTGTGATAACAACTGAGTTTCACCCCAAAGGGAAGGACTGAAGGAAATAGTTTATATAAGACTAAGTTAAATCCAAGAAGCAGGTTTTTCTACAAATGTACCCGTGCTTTAGGGCCAGCTTCCGAGGGCACTAGATGGCCAAGCCACCACTGTTTTCAGGGCAATCTGAGTTCTGTGGCTGAGGTGCTTCCAAAAAATGTGTCATGGAGTTAACAACCGTCACCCCAGCCCCACTAGGCATGCCACTGTTTTTGCAGCTTCATGAATGAAACCTAATGCAGTCTTCTCAGGAGACACGGAATGCTATTGCTGTGCTAAAAATAAAGAATGGGCAGGAAGTGTAATTTATACAGCAGGTTAATCGAGGCTTTGGAGCTCTGACAGGTTCACACAACAGCCTCTGATTGGCTTGCTCGGTTCCGTCTGAGCAAAAAGCCAACTGTAATAAGCTGTAAGGAAAGGTAACACACTGCAGCTGTGGAGGTTTAATTTACAGGAGATGAGGTTTCGATCAGGGCCAACTGGACTTATAGAATACACCTGACCCCCATGGGTCACCCTCATGGAAAAACACAGAAGATCTCTGACTCTATAAAGTGCACCAATCAGGCTCTTTTTCAAAACTCACTCATGCATTCACCTTTCTAGCTTTATGCAAACACTTTCTTTGTACTCAGCACTGTACTCGGTACCAGGAACAGAGAGATAAATCAAACACAGGTCTGCTCTTGAGCCTTGGGTCAACCAATAAGAACGGTCACGTAAATGGATAAATTACCCTATAACATGAAAGGACAACAGAGCAAAGAACAGTGTGTTGTGGAACAGTCAGTTCTGCTCG